TCAGCGAGTTGGCCAAGCATGCCTACTCGCCTCATATGCATTCCCGGCGGTCCGTCTGATGAGACCCAAAGTGGTCGTGACTACTCAGAGGCTCCCCCTCGTGCTGTCGCCTCGTCGAGATCCTCGGCAGACATACTAGCAGACTTCACAGGCAAAGACACCGGCTCGGCTCGAGACCCAAATCGCTGCAAATGACACTTCCTGCCACAGAGGGTCAGTCAGTTCAGAGCTCAGGGTCAAATGATGATGGTGCCCGGTTCCAGCTTGCCCCACGTTCTTCAGCGCCCGGCTCGTCCGCTGCAGCCTCACCGTCCGACCCCTAGGTTTTGGTGTTTGACGCCAAAGGGGGAGAGGGTGTTCGAGTATGTAGTCTCAGGGGGAGCTACATTTAGGGGGAGCTAGTTATCTAGTATTAGCCTATTATATACATTTGGAGTTTAATTTGTGTGATACACTATTACTTATGCATTCGTGTGTTTACTTTAATGCATACTATTATATATATGTGATAGTGCTATCTATGTGATTATGATATTTGACAGGTGTGGTTTCTACTTTGCATTATCTATATGTCATATCACTTATGTTATGTTCATTTATTTTTGCTTCCGCGTTTATACTTCGAAGCAAATGAGCTTTGTTACTTGTACTCATGCTTAATTCATATCCTTTAAGTACACTGTGTTGGCTTGGGTCATATAAGCTTGCCTAACTCTTTTGTTCTTAACGACAAAAGCTTATATGAACCAAGCCCTTCAAAAACCTCACTCTTTAACATACTCGAGGCGGTATTGTCATCAATCACCAAAAAGGGGGAGATTGAAAGCATCTAGGCCCCTAAGTGGATTTTGGTGATTAATGTCAATACAAGATTACTATGACTAACGTGCGTTTTGCAGAGGCAATTAAGTTAGGTCATGGTAATGGAGATCGATTGGGCAATTGAGGTTGTCATGCCCCTACGATGGAAATCGTTTCGGTTTTCAAATGATAGACGACAAGGTTAAGGATAACTAGTTATAAGTGTCAATTGAAGTTGGAGAGACACTTAGAGTAGTTTAGGACTTTGTTTTTCCTTTGGCCGTACTATGAAGAGGGGTATGAACGGGTAGCTTGACCTAGTTGAGTCTAGTGAGTTAGCTGTGGTGCACACTTGTTAAAACTAGCTCTAGGTAGCTCCTATGAATGTCTAAGATCCTTTGGAGCTAACTTCATTCACATATGATCGAAAGTTGGAAGTGAATGGAGGGTCAAATACTGACCGGACGCTGGCCGCAGGGTCCGGTCAGTTCATTTGACTGAGGAGAACAAGTCTAGAGTGACCGGACGCTGGAAGGTCGTGTGACCGGACGCTGAAGGCCAGCGTCCGATCGACTCTAGTAAGGGTCCAGACTTGAAAGTGTGGTGGACCGGACGCGTCCGGTCGGTGGTGGACCGGACCACGAGTATCCGGCGTCCGGTCGATTCTGATAAGCATCAAGATCGACCGGACGCGTCCGGTTAAGGCCGACCGGACCCTGTCGTCGTCCGGTCATCACTTGAAACTGCTATGCTTGGAGTTGAACGGACCGAGCGTCCGGTCAATATGATCGAGCGTCCGGTCATCCCGCCAGAAGCTCATAACGGTTCATTTTTTAGGCTGCCTTATAAATAGTTGCTCCACTCGTGAGTGGAGTGACTTTTGCTTATTCCAACAGCTGAGAAACACGTTTGTGAGTGCCAAGAAGAGCAAGGTCCTAGTGAGGTGTTTGTGATTTGAAAATCCAAGAGTGAAACCTCATTAGTGAATCAAGAGTACACAAGTGTGCATCCATCTTCTCATTAGGCTTCGCGTGGTCAAGTGAGAGTTCGTGCTTGTTACTCTTGGTGATCGCCATCACCTAGACGGCTTGGTGGTGATTGGGAGCTTGGTGATCACCCGACGGAGCTTGTGGGTGACCCAACTCAAGTTGTGGCGGTTTTGGGTGATTCGCCCATGATTTGAGTGTCGAAGAATCAACCCTCAGAGAGAGCACTTGATCCTTGCGCGGATCAAAGGAGAGCTACACCCTTTGCGGGTGCTCCAACGAGGACTAATGGGGAGTGGCGACTCTCCGATACCTCGGCAAAACATCGCCGCGTTCCTTTCTCTCTCTATTTACTTTGAGCACTTATTTTGAGTATTTACTTTGAACAATTTAATACTTGTTTCACATCCATAGAATTGCTTGCTAGAGTAAGTTTGGAACATAGGTTGCGAGGTTGTTGTGCATTAGTTTGATATAAACACTTTTCTAGGCACAAGGGGTTAATTGGGCTATCAAGTAGGATTTGATTATTGCAAGAAAATTTAGAATTAGCCCAATTCACCCCCTTCTTGGGCATCTTGATCCTCCTCCAGAGCGCCGCCGCCGTGCTTGTCTTGCTGCTTTGTTTGCTGTTGTCAGTCGGCACTCGTGGGCGTGCAGCGGCGCCTTCGCCGCCGCAAATCTCCGCCTCCTCCCCGGCAGAACTCGAGGTCCGCGTCGGCGCTTATCGTCAAGAAAAAACGGAGGCTGCGATCTTTGCCAGCGTAGGGCATCGACCTGCTCGCTACCGCCAGACGCGTTGCATCCGCGCATGCATTGCTGCCCGGCCCGCTCTGGCTGCTTTGCCACCTCGACGCCTTGTTGCCGCCGCGTGTCTCTCTGCCGCCTTCAGGCTCGCATTCTCTGCGGCGGCAAGTTAAGGCCTCCTGCAGACGCCTTGATGCTCGAGGCGACTGAAAGGTCTTGAGATCGCCTGCGGACATGACGCGCTACCGGAGGGGGGCTTTGCATGGGGAGAGGGCTGCCAGACGCCAGCAGAGAGAGAGGAGTGGAGAGGAGCGGCGAGGAGCTGTCCGCTGCCTCACTGGGGCCGTTATTGAGGTTGGGAAAGAAGATGAGCGAGGAGATGCTCAGCTACAAGATACTACGGCTCGATACAGGTTGTTAGTCGCTCAATTCTTACTCTTGGTAGTAGCAGAATTCTTACTCTCATCGAGAGAGGATGACACTAGGAGTTGGGGCAATTTTCTGGTTTATTTCTCATACAAATGTCATGCCAACCTAAAGGGTTGGGGATACATATTTATAGGTCGCTAGCTAGCCCAAACATATTCTAAGATGCTAGTCCTAGAATCGCCCTAGATGCTAGTCATAGATGTTTGTCCTAGATACTAGTCCTAGATGCTAAGATGATGTCCTAGCCAGTCAAGGATGCTGTCTTTGTGACAGCAACAGCCAGCAGCCCCACAAAGACTAGACCAGCCCCACAAAGACCAGACTAGCCAACACAACACAACACAGAGACTTATCCATCATAAACAAGGTGGGGGCCTCAAGAATGTTTAGTAGCGGACATGTCCACTTGTTGCACCCTCTGCTTTCTAGCACAGTGCCACCAGCATAATCAGGAGATGATGCCACGCAATTGTGACACTTTGGTAAAGGCGAGGTGAAGTTTTGTGGAAACTTTAATAGATTGAATGAAAACTCACATATCCGATTTGGTGGCAATAAGAAAAAAAAACGTGGATGGCATATCCCAAATTTGGCCTTTTGTGATGGCATTTCCTAGGTTGGAGACATTTGCAATGGCAAAAATATTAGCAAATAAAAAAATGGAAGGAAAGAATAATAGATGGTCCCAAATAGTCATCTGGTCCTCATGCCACTGGGCAAAGGTGAGGATCCCTGAGGTTGCTTTGTTCACCTCCCTTCCTCTTTCTCTCCTTTAGCTCGTCAAGGTCAAGCTTCAAATGGCAGTCTCCTTTAACCCGTCAAGGTCAAGGCTAAAATGGCAGGAATTGTGTCAAACAGAGCTCGCACGACACAACCCAATCAAGGGCAATCGCAAGCAAAGCCACTCTAGGTATAGGTTTCTCGGTGGACTGTTTATACCAAAATGGTTTAATTCTTTAGCAATATGTATAGAACAAAACAAGAAAGCTATTATTTAGCAAAGTATGAGCATAATGCCCTTCTGCACTTCCACCAGCAGGAAGCAAAACATGGCCAAGAGATGGTACCGATAGCTCTGGATGCTGTTGGAGCTTAAAAATGTAGCTCGTCTTGTGAAGCTGGTTTCACAACCTGTTGGTGCTGTTTTAATAGCTGTTATCTCGAGTGTTGCGTAATTGCGCTGTCGTCGGTGTTAGTAGTAGTCAAACTGAAGGCGAGCTTTTATTCTGGATATTATGTTTTCTATTGTCGTGTGGATTGGGATAGGGGTTTGGGGGTTTTCTCGGCTTGTGTGAGAATGAGAAGGTCTTCTCTATCACAACAATGCCCTGGGGGAGGTCGTCGATTTTTTTTTATTGTCGTGTGGATGTATTTAGCCAGCTGTACCTGAGCCCTGTGTGCTTCGTTGTAAGCTTGGTTTATCGTTGGTGGTCATATTAACACTGTGATTCTGTTGCTTGTTTGAGTAATGAAATTTGGGGATACCTCATTGTATTAAAAAAGTAACAGCAAAAGCTTAAAACTTGGACAGAACAACCTACATGAAAATAATGCTTTATTTAGGCAAACGAAACCTACAATCAGACCTATTTTTCAAAAAAAAACTACAATTACCTTCCAGAATTTATAGCTTCCCCCATATCTGCTTATACAAGGTAAAATATTTTATAGTCTTTTGAAACCCACATGGATGAATAAATAAACCTACAAAATGAGAAGGCTATGCACACTTGAACAGTTAAACTTCAGGCAGAACCAAAAATGCAATACTGCTGGAGATGAGTTTTTTTTTTCATTTTAATGGGGACCTGCACTAGTGTACAAAGGATGGTAATAACCATCTAGATATGAAACATGTCACTATATCCCCCTATTTCGAAATAAGACAAGGGTATTTTACATGGAGCCTTCAGGATCCAAAATGAAGCATTGGTTAATTTTAAATGATAATGTTAATAAACTGCCAATGAAGTTACAATGTTATGATCTAACATGAATCAAGTTGTGATGCTTTTGCATGCTCGCAGAAGATTTGGGTCAGTATGTCATGCTGACTCCTGTTAATGCAAACACTTCTTTCTTGATCCAACTATATCCTAGTGTCATGTTGCCTTCATCCTAATAATGCATACAGCATACAGCAGCGTGTAATGTCAGGAGGACCTAGCAAGCCTAATCCATCCGAAATAGTTATTGAGCTAATGAAAAAAAAAACATGGTTCACTTCTACAAAATTACATCTGTAATTGAGCATATAAGGCTTAATTAAATTTTGGGGAGGTGAGATAATCGCCTGGGGCTGACCTGCTGACACCACTTGGCGAGGACATGGAGCCAGAGCATGCGCTGCCGCGTGCGGTCGACGAACTTGAGCAGGTCGATCTTCTTCTCGGTGTCCGACCTTAGCCGCACGACCTCCTTCCCCTGCGCCTCCGCTTCCGCCTCGGCCCGCGACCTCTCCACGAGCTCCCGCAGCGCCAGGTACGACTCCTCGGCCGCGAGCCGGACCATCGCGCCCAGCTCCACGGTCTGCTGCCCCAACTCCACCGCCATGGCCTCGGCCCCTTAGCTGAACCTTCCTGCCGCTATCAGGACGCCAACACGACCAGCTAGACGGATTGAGATGTCTTTATCGCAGAGGGAGATTCGTGTTCCTCGGGGCGGAGGGATCAACCCATCCAGGCAGACCAGGCTACCTCACCGACGAGCAAGGGAACAATCAGTCCAAGTTCGGGTCATCAGGTGGATCTCCGCTCCTGGCGGTGAAGGGTGGAGACGAAGACGACGGCGACGGCAAAAGGAGGGTAGTTGAAGCAGCGGCGGAAAAGAAAGATGTCTTCGAGGCAGCGAGGGCGGCGGAGAGCGCAGTTGCAGCGAAAGTTTGAGAGTGCCAGCCTGCTTGATCCGTTGGTCGTCTCTGCTTTTGGTTTGGGAATTTTTTTGACGGACCCTACTATTTCGTGTTTGTTTTTAGTTTTGGCTAGTAAACCATGGATTATTAAATAAAACTCAAAATCCAATAAATACTAGTAGTGTAATAAAAGCTTAAACTCATATAGGAAGATTAATCTAGTATGAGAAATAATATGAGATTGACTTAATTTAAATAGATGGCTACTTGTGTATATTTATTGATGGCTATTGTGTATACTCATTGTGAGTTTAAGAAATATAGAAAATGAGCCACACAATCGTGTACGTGCCCTGACACGAACGAGCTCGGACGGAAAGACCAAGACATGAGTAATATAGCATCAATGAAGATTTTACAACTCTGAACTCCAAACAAAAAAGTGGGAATGATGTACCAAAGCACAGAAGATAAGTTACATGACGAAGAGACCAAGAGACGTAAGAAAAAAATGCACTTTTTAAATTAGGTAGTATAAATGGAGATACACAGATAATGGATGTATTTTTTGTTTGTTTGTTTAGCATGAGGATATTAGACGAGGGATGAGTTCTACCTCTTTTTTCAACGTAGGGTTGAAAACGAATAGATCTACTTTCTTATTTACAAAAAAAATAAAAAAAATAAGTGGGTCGAGGGTTCGCAAGAGTGGTATGATGACTCTACCCGGCTTCATGGTGGGATAGCATGACTTGTGTCAAAGCTGTTCTACTTTTCAACCACTCAAGAAGATATGATAGTTCCTAATTTTTTTATAATTTAGTTTTTTTTAAAAAAATTTACGTTTGGTCTTCTAGAAGACTTAAACTCATCTTTGGACTCTGGGGTCGGCGTCAGGACTCATAGAGCCGAGGTAAAACGTCTCGGCACCATAGATCTTGACGCTGAGATCGAAGACCAGATGATAACATGGCGCTGATGTGGCTCCGACATGGCATATCTCGGCACCGTGAAGCAGGGCGCTGACCTCGGCTGTTCTGTAGCTGTCTGTCGCGCTGCTGACCTATGCCTACTCTATTGCTTTGCCTCGCATGCAAGCAACCATGTCTTTTCGAGAGAGAGAGAGAGAGCGCGCTGGACAGAGAGAGTTGGACACAGAGAGAGACGAAGAAAATGCATGTTGTATGCCGCTGTAGACATGCAGGCTTTAGGGAGCAACCGAGCAACACGCAACCACAACTGCACGCATACTCGTGTCCATCAGATGCTAGACACGCAACCCCATAGACCTGCTTCTGTATGACTGCACGGCTCCATCAAATCAATCTGCATTTGTTAAACACTCTCACTTCAACCATTTGTCTTATTTAATTTTTCTAAGACAAGCATCTAATATCCACGCATATTTATAGTACTCCGTCGGTACCAAATTAATTATCGTCTTTTATTTCCATGCCACCAATTTAACTCGATTTATAGACAATGTGTGTAATATTTATATCTTCAAATAAATTTGTTAAATAACTAGATTCAAAAATCTTTTCAAAGATGTTACTTATGTGCCATAAATATTATCTATATTTAGTCAAAATTATTTTTCAGCTACAGTTATTTTGAGACGGAGAGAGTACTCCTCAAGACAAGCATCTCATATCCACACATATTTCATGATAAATCTTTCTACTCTCTCAAGACAAGCATCTCATATCCACACAACATTTTTTGGAGAAAGGTATTTTCCAAAGATGTGTATTTTTGGAGAAAGGTAACTAAATTGAAGTTTGATATTGTATCCAAGTAAATTTAAGGGCAAAACCAAGCATTGAACATACGTATTAGACTTCTCCTAATTTTCGGATATAAATATGTGTGGATATAAGATGCTTGTCTTGGAGAGTAGAAAGATTTATCATGAAATATGTGTGGATATGAGATGCTTGTCTTGGGGAGTACTCTTCGCCTCAAAATAATCAGATGTAGAAACAATTTTGACTAAATATATATTAAAAAATATTAATATTTATGGCACATAAGTAACGTCTTTGGAAAGATTTTTAAATCTAGTTATTTAACAAATTTATTTGAAGATATAAATATTACACACATTGTCTATAAATTGAGTTAAATTTTTGGCATGGAAACAAAAGACGATAGTTAATTTGGTACTGACGAAGTACTATAAATATGGGTGGATATTAGTAGCCTGTTCGTTTGGCTATGGCTTGTCGTAAACGATCGTAAATTTTCAGCCGGAATAGTATTTTTCTCTCACATAAATTAGCTAGTAGTATTTCTTCACGAACCGGCAACGATACGAACCAGCCAACCGAACAGGACGTAGATGCTTGTCTTAGAAAAATTAAATAAGACAAATGGTTGAAGTGAGAGTGTTTAACAAATGCAGATTGATTTGATGGAGCCGTGCAGTCATACAGAAGCAGGTCCATGGTGTTGCGTGTCTAGCAGCTGATGGACACGAGTATGCATGCAGCTGGGGTTGCGTGTTGCTCGGTTGCTCCCCAAAGCCTGCATGTCTACAGCGGCGTACAACATGCATTTTCTTCGTCTCTCTCTGTGTCAACTCTCTCTGTCCAGCTCTCTCTCTATGTCCAAAAGACATGCAGCCTATTCGGAAGGCCGTATCGTATCGTATATTATTTACTGCTGGCTGGTTTGGTATGAGAGAAAAATACTGTTCCCGACTGAAAATTTACGATCGTTTACGAGTAAGCGAACAGACTAATGGTTGCTTGCATGCGAGACAAAGCAATAGAGTAGGCATAGGTCAACAGCGCGCGACAGACAACTACAGCACAGCCGAGGTCGGCGCGCCCGCTTCATGGCGCCGAGCTATGCCATGTCGGAGCCACATCAGCGCCATGTTATCATCTGGTCTTCGACCTCGACGTCAAGATCTGTGACGCCGAGACGTTTTACCTCGGTGCCATGAGTCCTGGCACCGATCCGCAGGGTCCAATGATGAGTTTAAGTCTCACAGGGGGCCAAACGTAAATTTTCTTCAAAAAAAAGGCTAAATTGTAAAAAATTGAGCATGATAAACACTCCAAAATCCGCAGGTACCAGGAATGGTTTGGAATAATCTTATGTTAGCATCATATCTTTTGAAGTCTTATTTCATGGTTATATTTACTTTACTCGAGGAGGAGCAAAGAGGTAGTGTGAGGGAGCTTGTTGATGGTCCTTAACCCCTTTTTTGACCATCAACATGTCTTCACTTTGAGCATCCAAACAACATAAAAGTAATGATTTTGGTTATAATTTTACTTGGTTCCACTTGTACTTGAAAATGTTTTGGATGCGGGAACAAACGTGTAAATTTATCAAAATTAAGCACTAACAGGCATTAGAGCAAGGCAGGGCCACTAGGGTCTGCTTGGTGGGGTCGGTTGACCCCACCTAGGGTCGCTTGACCTAGGCCACTAGTGCCACCTCGCCAATCCTCATGCCAAGCTAAGGAAACACACTCTCAAGCTCATTCCACCATTTGTTGCATATCGGTTCATGATCAAAGGATCAAATGAAGCATTACATGGATCTTTGGACCCACCATTGCTATGTTAGTGATCCAACGGACGACACCACACTTCATACTCAAGCTCCTAAGCAACCTAGAGGATAGGGGTCGGTGGACCCTATCTTGGTCGCCCGACCCTTCTCGGAGGCTCCACCGCCTTAGATTTTTAAACATGCAAACAAGCACGGATTAGAGCAATCTTGTTCATTAGTTTGAGACGGTTATTGACACCTATGGATGCACACAGAGACAAAATCCGCAAACGCACGGGTATCGAAGTAGTTTTCACGTGGAGTATTATCGAGTATCGTATCCACGGGGAAACGTGTGTGTTGTCTAACAACTAGTTTGTCTAGGGATACCAATAAAGGTTTAAGGTATGAGTAAAGAGGATTCCTATGGTTATGACCCTATTCAAAGTAAGGCTTATGATTCTAATGTTCACTTTGAGACGCCGCTTAGACGATAAAGCACCACTAATAGATACCTCTACCGACGCGACTACGATCCTACTAATTTAAGAACCTGCTTAATTCAATGTGGACTACAAAAGATAGACGGGGCCGTCACCTCCCGCTGCTATCACACAACCAACAAATAGGGAGTAAACACAGGTAGCCGATAGCCCAAGCACCACGCTTATGCTAACGATTACTACTCTCATCCAGCTAGCAAGAACTAGAGTACTCAAAAGAACTGTGAACCCATGAATAAAAGAGCACAATACTTACTTTAAACAGAAATCAATTACTAGAAGTATCTCAGATGTAGACTAGATCCATCAAAGTACAAGCCGTAGAGGTAGCACTGACAGGCCGGTACTTCCTCCAAACTCTTCCCTCACTCTCTAACTCAATATTTTTATTTACAAGACTAGATCCTATAGAGGACTAATCTTCTCTTAATGCCCTAATCCTGAGATGAGGATATGAATTAGGGTTTCAGGATGGCTCCAGGGAGGAGGGTAGGGGCTGCTATTTATGACGGGCACCTGGCACCCTCTCCCTCTAAGTAGCCTCATTGGTACTAAACTTTACACCATATCTCATTAAAATGCACTTGGGCCTTTATGGGCCAAATTCTGAATTGGGCCCATAAATGCATAGCATGGCTCTATCTCGTCCCTCTATTTGAACTGACATTGAGCAACGACGTAGATTCATCCGC